TTTTAATGAAAAAATCAGTTATTTTCATGAGAACGATTTGTTATTCCATCTCAATTTTTTAATCTCCAATCGCAATAACGTAAAGTATTATTACCCGCGAACCAATGAGTCAAATTTAAGAAACAACCCACTGTTAGAAAGCTGAATGGCTACGCTTTAAAATGAATGTAAACTTTAACGTTTTCGTCTATTATTTGTTTAGCAATTTACATTTCAGTCGAGGATTGCACTTTTTTTGATACACCCTGTATATATATATATATATATATATATATATATATATATATATATATATATATATATATATATATATATATATATATATATATATATATATATATATATATATATATATATATATATGTAAAAACTCACGCAACCTTGTATATGTCAAGAGTAAAAAACTTTTTTTACTTTTACAACTTTTTTTATAACTAACAAACAACTGTGTTACTGCAACAACGGGATGAACTTATTGTATAGAAAAGGAGAGTTATACATGCAGAAAGCTTTTAGTTGACGCCACTGTTGAATTCATCATTGAAGGAAAGATTTAGATAATATTATGAAGTGTTCAAAATGCCAATTTCACAATGGGAAGGACTGCTCAAAATAGAGGGAAAAAGAAATTTGTTTTTGAATTTTTTTAAATTTCGGACATCCGGATTGCTAAAAACCCCCCCTCCCCCCTATGTCCGAGTTTGTCCTGATTTTCCAAACCCCCCTCCCCCCCCCCCTCCTCGGCTCGGACATCCTTTGTGAATGGCCCCTTATGTGATTGGTTGGCAAAAAAATTATTCGCCCGAAACAGCAGGAATATTAGACTTGCCACAAGTCGAACATGGGGGGAGGGAGGGCGCGGGAGAGGGAGCGCGCGACCCGAGCGACGAAGTCGCGAGTGGTCGACTTGTGTCGCTTGCTAGCCTGCATGGCAGGCGGTACTTGGGAAATTTCCTTTGCCTCCCTAATTTTCGCTGCCTGTAGAAATACCGCCTGCCACGCAGGCTAGTCGCTTGCAGGAATTTAAATCGCATTAAAAATTTTGGCGCGAATAATTTTGACATATTAAAAGGGTGTGTACACATGATACAATTACTTCACCGCGCCGACAATGGGTCTACAAAAACACAAAAACATTCTCTAGAATTGATATTTCTTGGTCGTCGAATGAAACAGTTTGCACCACGTGTGGAAACGAAATAACTGACCCAAGTTAAGTAAGCGCCGAAAGCTGTTCAATGTATTGAAGCTTCACAGTTGTTTGTCTATTAAACAATGTGTGCCGTAATTATGTGGACAGGAATAGTCAGTTCGCCAGCGATTTAATTAACGTAGTAGAAGTTAATCAGTCTATAAATTGAAAAGAATCAGACAACTGTAACCCAGAAGCAGAGAGGCGGCGATTGTGATCAACTTATGGCGTTCCGTTCCGGTCAAAATTATTTCAAAGTCAATAAGGAATATTCAAACATCATATAAACATGTTATAACTCTCAATATAATGTTGAAAATATCAAGATGAAGTTCAAACTCAAAAAAAAAAAATAATAAAATAAAACGAAAGTTTAAAGCATATACTTGAAAAATGCAAAATACATTTCAAATCTCAAAGGATATATATGAAAATTAAACGCAAGTCCAAACTTCTATTTATAAAGCGAAACTCCCAAATGATAGGTCAAAGCCGCCGCTCATAAAAATAAATCGAAAAGTCAAAAATATAAATCGAAAGGAAACGGAAGTAAGAACTAAAATACAGAGGAAGTCAGGAAACGGAAGTTAACCACAAACATTGCTGATTCAGCCAAATATCTTTCTCGCCGTCTGGATGTTTACAAAAGAAATATAAATATTCTTCTCAATCTCACAAGGCTTAATATCCTCTAGAACAACGTTTGTCAGATATGCGCATCCTTCAAGTGATTGTTCGTCGTCGAAGGGAAAGATGCGAAGCACTTTCCTTTCGCCCTTTGTTGGAGGAGTACCGCCCTTTGTTGGAGGAGTACCCCAGGGACCACGGTATTGTTCAGACAAGTGTAGGACAGTGGGAGTGTTAACTATTAACTATCTCTGGTGTGGGAAGACCAAGACTGGATGTCTGACAACAGGCAATCAAAACTCTAAATTCTCAAGTTGGACTTTCCTGGGCAGAAATTGCAAGAAATTTTGAGTATCTGAGAGTACAATACGACGACGTTCATTTGTCTCAGCTAATACGAACAGGGAATCACATTCTACCATAAGGGACAATGATCTTGATCTATTTGTTCGTGGTATCTTACAAGTAACACCTAGAATTGGCTATAGATTAGTACAAGAATATTTATATTTCTTTTGTAAACATCCAGACGGCGAGAAAGATATTCGGCTGAATCAGCAATGTTTGTGGTTAACTTCCATTTCCTGACTTCCTCTGTATTTTAGTTCTTACTTCCGTTTCCTTTCGATTTATATTTTTGACTTTTCGATCTATTTTTGTGAGCCGCGCCTTTGACTTATCATTTGGGACTTTCGCTTTATAAATAGAAGTTTGGACTTGCGTTTAATTTTCATATATATCCCTTGAGGTTTGAAATGTATTTTGCATTTTTCAAGTATATGCTTTAAACTTTCGTTTTATTTTTTTTTTTGAGTTTGAACTTCATCTTGATATTTTCAACATTATATTGAGAATTATAACATGTTTATATGATGTTTGAATATTACTTATTGACTTGAAATAATTTTGACCGGAACGGAACGCCATATCAACTACTGTAGAAGACGTCGCTAGAGTTCAAAATCCAGTAAAAATACACGTTGTTTTCTCAGCAAACGAATTTGTATTAAATAATCAGTAATCGAGAACAAGAAACCCAAACTATTAAAACCCGAAACTAGTGAGGAAATTTTACAATCATCAGATGCATCTTCGGTGGCAGTATTAAAGTTTATTTCTACACCCTGTACTTTATACTCAATGTAATGTCTGTTTGTGTATTTTTACATGGTTTTTGTGTTCTACAAAATTGTAATTACATTGTTTATTCTGTTTGCTTCAATAATACACATTTGTTCAACAAAAAGCCTGAGAATATAATATTACTTTTAGAATACTTCCATAATGACCGATAATGTAACCGCTGCGGCCTTCAATGTAAACAATGACGTCACCGGGGGATTTTTCCACCGGTGATATTTGGCGCGCTGCAAGTGACAAAAGTCCTTTCCACAGTAACCTGAACTTCAGGTTATTTCCACAGAGGAAGTGAAGCGCGCCATAGAAGGGCCTGGAAAGGACTTTGGAAAGTCTACAGGAATATATGACCCTGTTTTTCGTTTGCGAATTTGCTTGGTAACAAATCACGTTGCCAATTTATATTGTACTTCGAAAATTTAATTCTAAATTTATTTACAAGCAATAGAGAGGAAAAGGAAATACTGTGGCATATATTTCATGCAGTCAGAGAATACTATACTGTAGTCTGTACGCTTTACTATATGGAAAACAGTGATATAGTGGAACTTACTTTGTTTTGATATCCTAATCACCGTCCTATGTGCAGTACAATATCCAGACTTTGCCCTCTTGCTGATGTATTTCACACATTGATTACCCTAAAATACTAACTACAATTAGCGTGCACCATTAAAAAATGAAGTAATGACAATTTTAGATAATCGTTTGCAATGACGATCTGATTTCACCTGAGAATAATCAGGCAAGCATTGCCATTTTTATGATCAAGCAAGAATATAGACCTGCTCAAAGTTTTTCTCTGCGCCAGGCCACTATATTACACCTGACGTACAGTACATACAAATGAGAATGGGGAGGACTCTGCAATATGCAGCAATAAACTTTGCTTGGTTTCCGCATAGAATGTTCTATCAATTCATGACTATATGTATTAAAATAGATTTTAATATTCATTCAAGGTATAGTGTCCGCCACTATTTTGGAAATTGAATAGAGTACCAACGTCATTTCTGCTTTACCCACCGACCCTGATCACCTTTCACGATATAACCTCGATACAACACTTTACTTACATTTTCAACAAACTTGCATCTGATTTGATTGTTGTGATCAATTTTCTGGTAAAAATTTTAAAATTCGTTACAAGGAAAGTGCAAATCTCGTTTCTAGAGCTGTGCGGTTAACCGACAAATTCGGTTCTTCCGGTACTTTTGTTAGCACCGCAAAATTATACGCAAAAGAACCGGTAGTTTCGGTTTTAATTTCCCGTTTAACGCCCGCCAAACGCCCACCTGATTGCAGGTTGAAATGTTTTGAAAATAACAAGTTGTGCTCTTTGTGCACAATATGCACTGTACTAAGTGCTCAAATAGTTGATATTTTAGTTGTGATAGTTATTGTTGTGAACTTGCTTTAAATGTTTTTAAAAAAGAAATATTTCATGTTCATAAATAAATTCCAGTTGTTCTTTTAAAATATTCAGAGATTTATACAAACTTACAAATGCATAAATTCATCTATTTAGTAACAATGCTCGAAACATATATAAATGAGCTCATACATTTGTACTGTTCTTTTTTTTTGCAAATAACCGAAACCGAACCGAGGTTATTCCATTCCAAAAAACATGGAACCGAGATAAATTTTTTGGAACCGCACAGCTCTACTCGTTTCCCAGCTTAAACACATAAAAAAAAAACAAAGGAAACATTTCTTCCGGATTCTAATAAAAGTTCCAGTGGTATCTTAGCCTGCGTAGCAGGCGGTATTCGCGGGCACGAGAGAATGGGAAGCTTGAATAGTATCTGGTAAATATAAATCAAAATTCTACCGCAAGTAGAGAACTGCCGGGTGTGTATATTTAATATTTTACCGCGGATATCGGATACCGGTATCCGATGCACTTTCCAAGTTTCCAACACCGTCAAATTAATGCAAATGTTATACTGTATACAGTAGGTCTAATGATGGGAATGTACAAATATTTAGTTATCAAAATAAATTATTTCTAACACTTACAGTGTCTTGCGTAGACGTTGCTTGGTGATGAATGGACGAATCAATAGGCGAGTTGGAAACTCCTTGGGCTTGCTTCTTGGACCTGGTTGAAAATACACAGTAACTAAAACTCATCCAATGTAAAACGAATAAAAAACAGGCAAGTCAACACCACGATTTTCACCTTTTCTCTTTTGGACCACTATCTGCAGCGATTTTCTGAAAATGATATTTTAGATGTTGTTAGTTACAGTCAAAATTCAAGGATCTTCCCACTTCCACTGTTGGTTCCGATTTTCTGTACTTTGTTCTGTTTTACCGGTAGCGGTTATCAGATTATAGGCAAATACGGCAATCAAATTAGTTTTCTGTGTTCTTATATAATTTGTGACAAGGAATCCTTTTTTGCTAGATTGACAGAAATTTTAATTTTATCGACATATTTGCCCATAGTTATTTAACCGCTACAATAATACAGAAAAAAATACAGAAGCTGAATTTTCAATGTAACAGTTCTGTAACCAATCAAGATGCACATCTTATGGGAAACCATCAAAACGATCATAAAGGCTATAACCTGTACAGTAAGCGGTAACGTAACCATTCTTTCTCTGTCAAAGATTGTTCGGGCAAAACAAGCTCTCACCCCGCTGTAATACCGAAATTTGTATTTCCCAAGTGAGACTTTTGTTGTGGAAACCATGTTCCCTGGTTTACCTATACTTCCCGGAAACATGGCTTGGAAAAATCATAATCCGCACAAATGTTTCTTTGTTTACCAACAGGACTGGCCAATTTGTACCAAAATCACAACATTGTGCTCAACGCATTGAAAAATGTGTAGTATAAAAAATGACAACTGATATCCTTTATATGTATGATCCTTGTCTAAATATTGAATATCAAGTAATTTCTTATGTGTATAGGTGAAATCCTTACTATAGAATTTGCAATTGCATCACTAAATCCATAGTATATCCATAGTATATCCATAGTATAAAAATTGCAATTAGTATGAAATTTGGACTTCCGTACTAATTCCAACGAAGATCCCAATCTCGTACCCAGAGCAATGCCTGTGCGCGGGCTAGGATGGCATTGGCTCTGGGGAAATTGACAACCAGAACCCCTAAATTTAGGGGTTCCGGTTCTTTGTCGGCATGCACTACTGATAAACGTTAAACCAATCACAGCACAGGAAAAATTCAATTTCCCCAGAGCCAATGCCATCCTAGCCCGCGCACAGGCATTGCTCTGGGTACGAGATTGACGAAGATCCATGCTATTTCCATAGTATAAGGATACATATACAGTAAGTGCATAATCTACTATAGAGTTACGTTTAATACACAACAGCCAACCACTGTGGTCAAGTGCACATCCCCGTATATGTTAAGAATCTTTAAGAATTAAGTACAGGTCCACACCTTTTGTAGTTCGTCATCACTCGATGATATGGCAGTTTCTTCATCCTCTGTATACAAATGATATTTTATACATTAATCAGACACACAGTATGTTGTCGCAATTTTTCAAAAAATCTCAAGCTTAAAAGAAGAAGGAAATTCTTACCAGAGGAAGGGAAATCAAGTCCTTCTACTTGTAAAAGTTGGTCGAGGAGAAAACTAGAAAAGAGGGTTCAGAAAATGTATACTGTGAAACAAAGAATTAAAATGATTACTGAATCCGACTAAAACAGTAAATTATAGTACATATGAAAATTAATCAAGCCCGACCGATCGATGAAGTGTCTGTATTTAGTTAGCGTACATATGCATACCATGGTGATCATGTATGGCATGTACAGTATGTATAAAAAAGTTTTGATTCATATACACTACACATGTAGGTACAATAAAACGGGAGCCATGTTGCCTGTTGGTGGCGTCAATGAAAGATAATGATATTCTTTTGTTGAAATACCACCACCATGACCGCCGTGACATAACATGCAAACAACGCATAGTTGTACTAACATGTCTGACTTAAATAGTGTATTTTCATAATGACATAAATTTAAATACTTAATACGATGTCTAACATGAAATTTGGCTCGGCAATGATTTGCATGGCAAGTTGTTGGGAAATGGCACTAAGTCTAAGCGTTTATCCGCGTTTGACGTCATTTTGAAAAAGGTCTATTGCGAGTTGGCATCACGGAGTCTCAACTATACAATATTACTGGAGGAAGTCATGGGCACAAAAAATGTCCGCAAAACATGGCGAATTTTGACGATATTTGACGCCAATTAATCGTTAAGTAGATGCCATAATAGACACCTGTTTTACTACAAGATTTTTTCAAAAATCACGTCGTCAATTTGGCCATGGCTGTGAGATGTATAAGGCGTCAGTACGTGGTGGTGTAAAAAGATCAAGCACTTAGCAAAGTGCTTGACCACAAGGTTTTTTTTGTTCAAAAGCATACTGTATATGTAAAAAATATAAAATATATTTAAGAGGCTTAGAAACGCTGTTGGCCAGTGATTAATGGACCATTTGCATTATATACTAAATTTTGATCTCAACAAATCTAGATAAAAAAATCATCACAGCTTGAAAGAGCATCACAAAATTAGTAATATTCCAAAGTTTCGTTGGGAAATGTTGTAAAATGCGGATAATATAGCCTTGCGAAGTTTGCCGTTTTTCAGTCATTTTACATTACGCGGGGGAAATTGACAGCCCAATACCCTTTGGGGCTGTAATGACTGAAAAACGGCAAACTTCGCAAGGCTATACTATCCGCATTTTACAACATTTCCCAACGAAACTTTGGAATATTACTAATTTTGTGATGCTCTTTCAAGCTGTGATGAAATTTTTATCTAGACTTGTTGAGATCAAAATTTAGTCTATAATGCAAATGGTCCATTACCATGGGAAATAAGGACCACTGGCATCAGCAGAGGCCAAAATCCGCCATGTTTTACTGCATGAGTGTCCGGACACTTTCTGAACTGACGGAAGGTAGGAGCACCACCTCCAGCCAAGGAATACATAGTGTTGGAGATTTACTGGTGTAGGGATAAATAGGGATAAATTGCCCGTTCGCGGGCTAGACGATAACAGTACGTTATGTAAGAAAATATGTAATGGTTCAAAAGATGGCGACGGGAAAAACGGTTATCATTCCATGTTTCGCGCACCAATATAGGTTAGGGTTAAGCCCGTTCTCCACTAGGCGAATTTATTCGCGCGAACAGATAAAAAGTAGGAAGCGATCCTACTTTTTCGCCGCGAATTTTTTCGCCGACCAATCACGTTGCCGGATTTCGGTTTTCGCTTCGCGTCGCGCGAACAAATTCGCGTAGTGGAGAACGGGCTTTAGGGTTAGGTATTAGGGGTTAGGTTTAGGGTTGGGGTTAGGGTGTGTATATATGTGTATGGAGGTATCTAGTGAACTTTTCAATACACTATAATATCCATTACATAACGTTTACTATATTGGTGCGCGAAACATGGAACGATTACCGGAAAAACGTACTAAAAACGTTAAACGTGAGAGAGTTGATTTTATTTGTTAAAGTTTGAGATTTATTAAAAGGATTATACAATTGTGAGTTAGCAATAACATTTTGTGACTTATCGTGGACACTCGGGAGGCGAATTCACGATACATAGATAGTACTGAAACTCAAGCATTTAACAAATATGTTGTTCACACCGACCTTTTATCTTTGGAAACTCTTAAAAGCTTCCTTTGGGATCTTCGAAGTTCCTCTTGAAAACTTTCTTGTTCCTGCTCAATGCACAGAACATTAATTTTTAGAATAAGATATAAATGCTTACACCACAGTTTTATAGGAAAATATATTGTAACTACAGTAATTAACCCATTAAGCGCCTGCGCTCTCCCCTTGATGAGTAAAATCGTCTGGCGTTAGAGAGAATAAAATAATATGGCGTTATAGACAGAGTAAAATAATAAAGTAGGGCGCAATGTGACTCAATGGGTTAATAATGGAGTCTCTTTTGACGTCACGTATTCCAAAGTTCCTTTTAGAACATGCAGTCTAAAATGCAACATTTACCATATTTACACAATAACCCTGTATTATAATTAAGGTATCTCCTGTAATGTGTCTGTGGAGGAGTTACAGTATAATGCCAAAGTACTTTGGCAAACATCAACAACTGCATTCCAAAAAGTAAACAGACAGCTACACATCTCATTATGCATGTGTGTAGGAAGCTAGCATACCTTTAGTACATAATTTTAAGCAAAAGTTTCCACTTTTAAGACCATTCTCATTTACATTTAGCCTTTTTGCTCAGCCTTGTTGCTCAGCCTTGTTGCTCAGCCTTGTTGCTCAGCCTTGTTGCCCAGCCTTGTACCCAGGAGTGCATGGGATGACATGCAAGGGAAGAAATGGAAACTGTGGGGGCTAACCTATCACTTCTTGTGCTACTGCAACTACAGTTTTTTGCACATGTGTCTCACACGATAGGGTACTAAATATGAAATCTATTAATAATACAGAAATAATACTAATAACAAGTGAAATTGAAAGACTTTGAAAGACTTTAAAAGCCTGAATATCACATCAACAGTGGAAAAATTCAAATGTATGTAATGTGTGTCATGAAACTGTTCCGTGAGACATTACAGAACAGCTACTGTACTAGTCCTAACTTACATATAATAGGAACTTTAATTTTCGTTTCAAAATCCTGTATTTTTGCTTGTAAGTTGCAATATCAACAGGAACAAAATGATTTCCTAAAATTATAAATCAATTTAGCCAGACGAGTGTGGATCGCACAACCAAGATATCAGGCGCATGCAATTTTGATGCTTTCTACATATTTACTATTAAATTTTCAAAATCTCGGTTGTGCGTTTTCCAAACTTTCCAGTCAGGCAATTTAGTTAAACAGGGTTTGAATTAACAGTGTGCACATTGTTCTGGACCAAATACTGAATTGGGACTATTAATGAACATCCATCCATATTTATAGATTTAAACAAAGCCAATCTGTTGTCGTATAAGCTATAAACAAGTGCTCTTGCATGCACACTAGCAACATGTTTGCAGACTGGAAGGTGTCGAATTTTAGCCACCAAGACAGACAAACACAAGACTGATTAATATTGTATATCAATGATGGCAAACAATGTTTAATTAAAACGTATTCAAATAATTAAATTATTGCACTTTGATTGAGTAGATGTTTGTCTCAATAGCTAAGACAATCATGAACCTATTTTATAAAAATTTAGAGCCACATTTAAAAAAAAAAGTTGCACATATTTTTTTCTCAACTAATTCGAACCCTGATTGAGTGCTTAAGGCCTGTTCATATGAGCCGGGCTGGCCCATTAAACTGGGCTAATTCGCTTTGCTGGGCCAAGTTGTTATTTATTTCACATGAGGTGGGCTAGCCCGGCAAGCGCTATAAGAAATTCCTGTGCGACTTTTGGCGGGAACGCGATATTTGTTTTAATTTTGAAAAATTTTTATTGATAGAAACTGCTTCAGAAGTTTTAATATTGTTGATTTCTTACTTTTTTTTAATAATTTCTTAGATGCTTTCTAGATAGAATAAAGCATGCCCGTTTTAAAAGTGTGTTCATATGAGCCCGGAAAGGCACGATCTCGCCTCGCTCAAACAGGAGCTCGGCAAACCGGGCCAGCCTGGTTCTCATGTGAATCAAATCTCAAAAACATATAAAAACAATCTATCAGGTGAGATCTCGCCACTTGTAAGTCAGCCCGGTTTACCAGTTTAGCGAGAAATATTTGACTTTTTAGCCTCAAGCAAATTCCCCACCCTGGGGCTAACCTGCAGATAGCAAATGCCCGACCCTGGAATTGATTGAGACATTAAGGTAAAAAGTTGTTCAAAGTTCAAACACTACTTATACAGTATGTTGTCCAATTTTCGGACAGTAAAGTGTTTTCACTATTAAGACTTCTAGAAGGTTCAAATTTGTACAGATGACGACCACTTCCCATTGCTACATTACTCTAAGAGATACATCGCTAAAGTTCTTTATTTTTTCTGTAATATCGAAAACAAGTAGTTCATTTTCATCACCACATTTCAGACAGCTAGCCCGCTATTCGGGCACATATAATATGGCCGTTTTCCTCTCGAAGGTAACGCTGTATTTTGATATGTACTGGAAGCTTGTTTATGTAATAGAAATAAATGTCATAATTATTTAAACCATATTCTAGTATTAAATTTCAGTCAGGTTACTCGCAAGTAAAGCCCACTTTAAGATATACAATTCTCCGGTGGACAGATTCACATAATAATATCCAAACTCGCTTTGAACTAAAATCAACAAAATTATTGAAATCGAAAGTTTATCAAAATATAAACAGCTTGTACACTCTTTAAACATTTTAAAGATACAATTTTATTGAAGGTGATCTACAGTCCGTATGTAAACAAAGCCTTTGTTTACATTTTTGTGTCCAAAATATTGAGCTTTATTCGACAACTATTTATATTTTCAAGCTTCTAGAGTATAATAAATGATCAAGAAACAACAATCAGGCTTTTCAAGAACTCAAAACATTGTTAAACTGTTTGTATCATAAAAAGTGGGCTCATTTGTGCACATGCGCAGATCGGACTGTATATCACCTTTAATTAAATATACTCGTGATTTTAGTCATATGATTGTCAACTTTAAGCCATCGTCCGAGTATTGGTAAGCGCCTCAAAAAATGTTTCATAATTTAAAAGTCAGAAATTTCTTAAATTTTATGACAGTAGCAATGATTATTGTTGTAGTAAAATTTTCTGCCCATAACCTTCCTTCAGCTAAAAAATTTAATGATTCGGCAGTATATTTTTGCATAATCAATCTTCTGAAATGTACTGCCTGATCACATTGTCGTAAACTATGCCACTTTTAAGAAAATATTGTTGGCCGACCTTTACTCAAAGTGTTCATGTTTGCACAAAAAACAGCAAAAACGTCAAAAATACAGAGCAAGATTCAAGATATATCAAGCAATCATCTGAACCTACTGATTTTCATTTTTTTGCTATTCTTCATAAAAAAATTTGGCAACAAAAAATTTCGTCCGAATAGTGGTACTGTCCGAAAATTGGACAACATACTGTATAACTTATACTAATCACTTTAAGACAAACCCTGACCGGTAATTAAAAATTAAAATGTTGCTGTGGGAGAGTTATCAGCAAAACAATATACAGGTAGAAAATTTTGCTTTAAAAATATTCTGTCTGAATAGTGGTACTGTCCCATTGAACTATAAATAAACTGGAAGGCTAACTCAGGGGGGGGGGGATTGAAGCCAGTGCATTTTAGTTTTTCTGAGTTATGAGCAGAAATACTCAACACAGAACGTGGTGCCGTATATGAAACTGAAGTCAATAAATTACCATTTTGCAGTTGTTTTTGCATTTTTTAGATATTTTTCTTTTCGCTGAAGTCTTCAAATTTCCACACTGAATAGCAATTTTCAATAGCTTCAATTCGATATATAGCCCAACGTTTTGGGATCAAGTATTTCTACTCATAACTCAGAAAAACTATTTTGGCTTCATCAAATCATAGGCCTTCATCATAGCAGTTAGCCTTCCAGTTTATTTATATTATAGTTCAATGTACTGTCCACAAAGGTGAACAGAAAGGTTGGAATATAAAGTTTTAAGTTTATAAATCACAATGTGATGGTTATATGTACAACAGGAAGGTTGACATGGTACTATATATTCTTAATCACGCACTAAATCCAGTAATACATTTTCCAGCCTAAAAATGTGTTTGCTTGAGAAATATAAGACAAAAACTTACCAGAATTCGTTACAGATGGCATATTTGTATCCGCCATTGAAAAACGACACTCGGTCACTGTGACTGGGTCGAGGTAACGGAGGAAGTACTTCATGTTATAAGGAATTCAGAATCTAGAATCACTACTACTGATAAAAAATTAAAAAAATATACAAAAAAAAAATAAATAAATAAATAAATTTTACTTTTTCACAAATATACTCAATTTTTATCGCATTCCCATGAATCATTAGGGGCACAGAATAAGAAGGTACAGCAGAAGTGTCACTCGAGTCGGTTCCCTTATTGTTTTACGTCCACGAAAATTTTAACTCAGCCACCTGGCTAGTACAACCGGAAGTTTTTATCAGGTTTTGGTAGGTACAAAGTGCCGGTTGTACTAGCCAGGATGGCGTGACAACCTCGTTCATAGGCGTACCGGGCGGGGGGGCGGTAGCCCCCCAGTTTTTTGGGCAGTCGGGCAATATTCGATTAACAGTCGGGCAATTTTGGTTTGTTATTATAAGTAATAGCATGGCTTGAGGGAGATTAGTGATTAAATGGCCCCGTAACCCGAGGCAGGTTTGCGGAATTCCCGAGGGCGAAGCCCGAGGGAATTCCGCAAACCTGCCGAGGGAATTCCGCAAACCTGCCGAGGGTAAGGGGTCATTTAATCACTAATCTCCCGAAAAGCCATGCTATTAGTTTGTAATAGCATAGTTGCGCTCCCATTTAAAAATGGACAAACATGCCCTACTTGGAATCAGCGTATTTAAGCTAAAACATTTGCTTCATTGCTTGTGGGATGTAAAAGCTTGTTGCACATGCGCAATTTTTACGCTTTAGTCGGTTACGCATGCCTAATCTATCATTAACGTACCACAACAAAAACGCTAAATATATTAGTATAAAATTGGAGACCGCACGTGCGTAATTTAAACGATGCGGCAACTCAGGGATCGGATGATAGACTATTGACGGCTCTGAGCTAACTGTTGCTGTTCCTTGCACGATTATGTGCGTGAGGCACTTGCCTAATGCGTAGTCGTCAGGGAGACAAAGGTGTGACCCTTGGTAACGGGCGATTAGTTCTAATCGCCCGCTCTAGCGGGCGATTAGAACTAATCGCCCGCTACAGCGGGCGATTAGTTAGTAATCGACCCTGTTGAAACAAAAGAAACCCGGGCAACTATGCTATTATACTATTAAATAGCGTATTAGCGTAATAAGTTCTTGGCCAATTTGGCTGAATGTTCGGAAAAGGGCCGAGCTTTCAGTCGACATATCTATCTTTTCGATCTCGCATTTTCTACAAATTTTCTACAAACAATCTCTCCAATCAGGTATTGCTTATTGGCTTGATCCAATTCATTTTGCCGACGGGGGCACCCCCCGCACACCCCCCCCCCCTTAGCTACGCCCCTGGTTCGATTCTCGCTACGGACTCGCTTAAAAAGACTGTCTACGCTCTGCCAAAAGTCGTGGGTTTTCTCCGGGTGCTCCGGTTTCCTCCCACAGGGAAAGTTGACAGGGTGGGTTAGGATAAACACGGTTAAGAAAGTAATATCACAATTGTTGTAAGGATAACTAGTCTAAGTTGGTAATACAAGTAAGCATAGAGAGTTGTAAAACGGGTAACTTGTATAGAGTCAAATAAAGTACTTCTTTATATTTATTCAAACATTACAAAATGCAAGTCGACTGTCTATAAAAATTGACTTTTTCGCTCCGGAATATATCACCGTTGTTTGTAGCCTGGATTTTAGACGACCCCTCGTTGAAATTCAGACTGGCAGCAATATTGACTATTCTCTAATAAAACGTCAATGTTTGTATCTATGTTCATAACAATGGCAGTCGTGCATGTTTGGTCGATACGAAAAGTCTGCAAGATAAATTAAGGCCAGGGCTTTCGTCAGGATTTTTTTGCTGGGTCTGTTTTTGCAGAGAAGATTGAGTCTATCTAATCAGCTTGGGGTCTGGGGCGACTGTCCCATTCAGCCTTTTAATACAAATCTAAAATTTAAATGGCTTTAGATAGCTCAAAACTGCTTTGAATTTGTGTTGCAGTGAAACGAACTGCAGGTGGTATGTTCGGCGTTTTTTTAAATTCTTTTTTTCATGTCACAATTTTAACTCAAACAACTTAATTTTTACTGCATTAAAACTTTTGATAAGATGATTTAGTTTCAAAACTTGATTCAAGATTGAGTTTTTGGGGCGGTTTCTTAACAACGGCCGTAAAAAAGCCCTGAAAAAACCCTGTCACTGCAAGAGGTAGCCAAGAACAACAAAGAAACTCATTAACCAATATTCATGTTCCACTTTTCTTGCAATATTAGTGACAGAGAAACTCGTGTCAGTTTCCTCCATTTGTGGCGTCTTAGTTTGCAGGTCTTCGATAGGGACTGGTGCGAGTGCCTCCAGCGCTTCTGTGATATTATGTACAGCGGGTACCAAACAGAGTTGGCTAAGAAGTAGTGTAACACATATCCAAGTCGCTTTCATTGCGTTTAGTGCGTAAAATCGGTTTTTGGAAATTCGATGTCCTTCGGCAAATGCAAGCTAAAAAGAAAATGTTTTACTGTTATTAACAAGACATAAGAAAATCCATTTGTGAGCAAAACCTACAGTAATTAACATTTAGTTGAAGAATGAAGGGTCTTGACTCTTGTAGATGGAAATTATCAAGTGGTAATTTATATACATTTTAAATTTATATAAATTTCCATCTACAATCAAGACCCCTGACCAGTTCAATCCAACTATTATTCAATCGAGTGAAATGCCAACAAAATCTTAATTAACATTTAGCAGTTTTCATCTGGCTACAGTCGGGTTTATTGACCTCGGATCGCACCTGTTATACGCTGTTATAAACAACACTGGTTCTTTGCTACACAACAGCCGTGAGCCACGAAATCAAGTGAAAATGTTGAATAAACAAAACTACAAGTACAAAAATACAATAATTATATATTAACTATATATATTTTGAGTTTTTAATTCTTGACTAGTGCTAAAACTTCAGTGATGTTTACAAAATTGCCACATTACAAAGATAAAACTTGTTTTCATGCGCTATCTGTATTCTATAACACGGCCAATGCACCGATATTAAAACAATCACGTCAGAAATAAACTTACGCAGTGCAAATGCTTGTCCACGGCCGAAAACTGAAGTACTCTGTTAACGGGATCGATTTCTAGGGCCCAGATAAGCTCTACTATTCTTTAAATACACCCCTTTTGACGCTCTATAATATTTTAATCTAAATGAAGGCCATGCAGTTAGTAATTTATCAGTTAATTATGTACTTGTTAAACGTGAATTAAAAACGGTGTAGCGCATCCAAGCTGATAGTTAACGCTCTCATGCGTTTTAAGTATGACTTCAGTTGATTTGAACGTATTGAACGGTCAGATTTTGATATCAGTAGAAGGTGTATGTTTATTGTGGAAGCAATGAATTATGTGAGAAACTAAAGTTCTTGAGTACAGCTATATGCCAGGATGAAAGGATTATGAAGAACAATTTGGACTATAGCCGAGATATTTCTGCCATGTTAATTTTCGTGTGACGAACTCTCGAGAGAGAAGGCTTTAATTAATCCTGTTCCTCTCAAACGGTTGAATCTTTTTGTTCCATGTGTTATAACTGGTCATCATAAGCAGGTTATTCTAGTGTATTCTCATGCAGTGTCATATATTAGTTGCAGTGATTGAAGTGGACTAGACTGCACAGAATGTGCCATTACTGATATTGATATAAGTCTTCATAATTATAATTTTTCAGGCTAGTTGGATGAGGTCTTTTAGTCAAGAAATATTTAGAGGCTCTTCTGGGACATGTAAATGCCAATAGGATTGCATGGACACATGACACATAATATATGATTAGGGCCGCCGAGAGGGGGGGGGGCAAATTGCCCCGGATCCCCAGGTTCTGCGAGCTCCTAGAAATTTTTTGTTGGGCCCCAGTCATTTATTTGGGTGAAATATTTCCGCGCAAAGGGCAAGATATTTGTTTTTTATGGGCAAAGTACCGAAATTTGGTATGAAAAATTGAGGTAAAGTCGCTGGAAAGCAATTACAACGTACTCGTACGGAAAAAGTTTTTCCCAAAAAAGTTGTCGACGGGGCTTCATTGCGAGCCTATACTACTTTCTGATCGATGAGTGATGAAGAAGATAGCACATTCAGACTTACGTACGTACGTACCATTGGCGAAATCGTGCTTGATAGCGAGCCTATATACTACTTTCTGAACGTTAGCTAGGAAAGGATGTCGAACTGAATCATTTATTTCCCTGTTCAAATATTTCTCTCACTATCATTTGTCCTTGCTGTCAATATCTACGATCGCCTTCGCTATTTATAACCTCGAGAATCTTGAAATCAAGCAGAGTAGCAGGCGTAAGACGCAATGGAATTCTACGAAATTTATGGCACATCTTTAGAGGCATGCCATATCTTCCATATCATTGACCTACAGACCAATTAGCCATGCTAAACAGAGTCAGTAAAAGTTTTTAAAATTGAATTTGTATATACAACCAGTTTGTGAAAAGATATTTCCTAATTCTATATTAGTCACTAAAATAAATCAGTGACATTTCGCTGCACCAAAATCAACATAAACTGCAACTCACCTTTGAACCTCGCTGTAGATTTGAAACCAAACGATTTTCTGGAAAAAGTTCTCGATTTTTTAAACTTCTCGATTGACAAGTAGTGTTTAGTGAATTTTACGTTTGCATATAGTAATGAATACGTTTAAATTGTAACGATTCCGGTATAAATGACCGGGCTTCTTTTTAATGAGCTACTTGACGTTGATAGCATTGACTTCGTGGTTTAGTGCGGCTTCCTTTCTCGAGTTGTCAGTCCGTAATACTCCTGATGTGAAATAATCTAGCGTGAATATTCTGTCAATATTTGGTAATTGACTGTTTTAGGCTACAGGACAAAGACAATATCCCGTCAGAAACTTTACTAGACAATGCTAAATACCAAATTATTTATACCAGTTGCAACAAAAGACACAACAGGGAAATGTGTTAATAATTTATTATTTCCTGCTTTTTATATTTCAGTTGATCATATCATAGTTAATAGACTACTACAAGGTTTGTAAACTCAATGAAAACTCAGTGACTATGGTTTAATTAGTCATCATCTATGTCTTTGTTCAGCTTTTAATTTCGTCGATTTTTGGTCGTGTAAAAAGTTGATATTTGATAGTAGATCAGTACTTCTACTCTTTCACCGTATATTTGACGCCTGTCTCCATATATTTTGTCCCCCAAAAACGATCCCAAAATGCACTGTGATTTCTTTTGGAAAAAGGCTAATACGGTGGATATTTAAACCATTATAAGGAATTAGACAATAGTCAATAGAGAAAAGAAACAAGATGAAATAATTAAGAGTTAAGAATGAATGCAGTCGGAAGCATATAAGATATTCTCGGAGACCCTCGGCTTTAAGTATTATCAATTTGTCCAATTTAAAGTAGAGAGGAATCTACCGGTCACTTGAGTTACTTTATAAATGCTTATTTTGTAATGGCCCCTCATATATCAGAGATCTCTTCCGCTTTAGGAAGACTAAATATGTATAGGTTATTTTGAGGCAACGAGGGGATATGTGATTTATTCACCGAGGCGCGTAGCGCCGAGGTGAATAAACACATATCCCCGAGGTGCCTCAAAATAACATACTTATTTTTCACACTGCGAGGTCGCGTTAATGAGTCAGAAAAGAAATAATTCTCAATGCCATATTGCCTTTGCGATGTTGTTTTTTCTCATTTTTTGTGCTGCAAAGACATTGCAGGTGAATATTAGAGGGGATTATTAATTGCAGGTGAATATTAGAGGGGATTATTAAACGGAAATTGATTAGAGGGGAATATTGAATATATTCCCCGACAAGAACAAAGGAAACCGAGCAGGGTGAAAAATAAAGCCTGAGAGGTCAGATGGGTATATCCTCGCTCTTCCTAAATTTAATCTGCAGTGGAAGAAGAAATCGTTTAGTTATGCTGCTAAGTATTGGAATGAACTTCCTGTAATAGTTCATCAGTCGGCAGATTTTAATAGCCGTTTAGAAGTAACTTAACTAGGAACGTTGTTTTTTAGCTTTTTTGTAATTAACCTCATTCTTGTACGCTATTTTTTTTCTTTCTTTTGTTCTTGATAACCTATTTGACATGTAAATAGTTATATAAATTATATAATTACCATAGTTGCACGTTCGTATTTTGAACGAGCTTTACTCTCCTGGACGTAACGTGTCTAAATAAATCAGTCGTTCATTCATTCATTCATTGTCTTCATTGGGCTTAGTTGAGCACATTCGCAGCACCATATGATACAAAACCAATTCCGAAGAGAATCCAGTTCTGTTTTGTGTTTCTGAAAGACAAGCGTCTGCACGCGCTTCGGCTGCACGGGCTGGGAAAAATATCGACTTTTTTTTTAACTCTTAGTCGCTTGTCAGCTTGTCTCGTCTAGACTGTCAAGTGCACTTTCACGGCATATTGCGAAAATATGCATATAAGAACACTATTCTTTGTTTTAATATCAGTTTATTAGAAATTAAATATCGCAGAATGCCGAAATGAATGACCGAAAAACTGTCAATAGAACGAGTGGACTGGATAGCATGGAGAACAGTGGGATTTTTGAAAGAACGAAAAGACAAATGGACACTTCGATCACTGAATCGTAACTGAAAGGTTCATTATGCGATATTTTAATGTTTTATGTTAGAGTATATAAGAATATGAGTATATAAATGGACAAAAAGAAGGCATAATGCTCCCATGGCTCGAAATATTTTCACTTCCTGATGCTATCCCCAGTCTTTCGCTTCATGTTTTCGCGCGAAATCAACCACGTGATAAATTCTGTCTTTTCGACATATTTGCTTTGATGGTGAACGTGAAAGTGAGCTGATTTTCTTGGATTTTGTATCCACTTCTTGTTTTGTAGGTAAGTAAGATCACTTCTGTACGTCCTTCATTAAACTATCAAGCCCTCTGAGCTGTTAGAACGGCCGAAACCACAACACATTGTGTTCGAGCGTCGGTGTTGATGTCTACGAAGCCGGCATCTCGGAACATATAACGCATGTTTATGCTTGAAAATTAGTGCATTTCGCGTCGAATTTGAGTTGTATCTGAGCATGGAACCTTTGCAAGGTTAAAATAGGTGTTGTTTCTTAGTTGTATGCATTGAGAACGCCGTTGGGCTCTTTTCGAAACGTAAAATTTTGTTTGAAATTCTGTGACGTGAGTTTGGGAAAAAATTATACGGCTACTCATTTTCGTTTTATATGCACTAATTTTGTACTTTGTGTTCAAAATGGAAACAAAATTAAAAGATTAGCCCGGTCGTTTTGTATCGGCTTAGGGGATGTGTTTTAACGAGAGCTAAACATGTTTAAAGTTAATTTTACGTGAGGTATATTTCACTATTCTTCGACCGCTGTCTAAAATAATTTTGGACATGTGCTGAATAAACTAAACCAATTTTGTTTGACTTAGCATAAAACATCAAAATGTGTGCTTATATTGTCAAAACAAGTTGCTTATCGGGCAAATATTTTCTAAAATGCTTTAATATTCCGTCGTAAGCGTAATTTTTTGGCAATTTTTTTTTAAAAATTGGTTTCTTCCGGAAATACAAAAGCTATATCCCATTGTTGAAATGCGAGATTCCCCACTGGATTTTGAACGGTCACCTGTCGTAAAAGCTCTTGCCGCATAAGTCCTGTACGATTTGCACAGATTTCGTGCTAACTTTTTTTAAATGTTGTACTATTAAGTATAAATTTGTACGTTTGTGGAAGTTTTGGACAGAATTTGGGTCCACATTTCTGCTTTGTGTCTGGGAAATTAATTGTCAAATTGTTAATGTTTATGATAATGTTTGCTTGGTATTTGAACTTGGTATAACTCCAGAATATGAAACAGGAAAGTTTTTTTGAAAAATAAAGTTGTGATTTGTAATGAGATTATTTGTGTTTGCTTTTTAGGCACTGGAATAACATTAAATGATTAGTACAGTCAATTTTCGTCCAAAGTTTGCACAACATAAAAAAAACTTTTATCACTTGTAAACAAGGACAATTGGATACATTTCAGAAATGCTCTAGAATTCTATAATTGAATTTTAAACATTTTTAAACTGTATACTATTAACCAATCTTCCTGCTGGTAACCCATTAAGCTGCAATGTGCCCAAATGCACCCGACTTTATTGTTTTATTCTGCCTATTAATTAAGCCCATTTTCCACCAGGCGAATTTGGGCGCGCGAAGCGAAAAACAAACCTTGACAATTTGATTGGTCAGCGAAAAAAATTTGCAGCGAAATTAAGTTGGATCAGTTCCTACTTTTTTACTGTTCATTAATTCTCAAATGATTTTGGTAATAATCTCTCTTCACCGCAGAAGCATTTTAATTAAAAATGTGGACTATATGCCTTAATGCTTGCGAGTTACCTTCATTAACCCTTTAGGACAAGGCTATCTACTTGACTTGTCAGGCGTTAGACAGAGTAAAGTAATAAGTAAGGCACTTAGCCACACTTTGTGGCTTAATGAGCGACAACGTTGTTGTTGTCGACGACAAAATGTTGTTAACGACTAAAAATCAGGTGTGTGAAACAGTTGCCAATAAAAATTTGTTAAATTTTTACTAGTCAATAGGAAAGTAGTTTCCCTTTGTTTGAAGGGAAACTTGAGTTTTAGTCGACAAATCAATATAGTTCAAAGGGGTTTTTCTAGTGCATGGGGAGTAGCTACACTGTATATAGCACAAAATTAATATATAGTCAACAGTCGATAACAAATTCTCATCGACAACAAATCACTGTACAGTAGTCTGTGGAGACTCTTAAAACTGTTACAAGGTGATACTAATAACCAGTTGTTTTCATGTTTTGCAACAGATGGTATATCTTTGGATAGGGTAATGTTAAACACAATTGAATCAAATTTTATAATTTTATATCTGGGAAGTTATTGATAGGGGTGTACCGGAACCAATTTTCCGACCGGAACTGGAAAAAAGTTCCGGCCAGAAATTAAGCCATATATATATATAGTCATATGTTACTTTGTCTGCTGCCAGACAGGCAGACACTTCAAGTCATCAATGAGCTCGCTTGCAAATGTTAGAATAAAAAGATTGACAAACATTAAATGTCATAATGAAGTGTTAAGTACACTTTCCTTGGTAGTTCAAATTTCTTCCTACTGTGAACTTTTATTAGACAGAAAAACGTTTGATATTCTATCTCTCTGAAAACGACAGAGTTCGGTTCCGGCCGTGCTTTTTTCATTAGTTCCGGCCGGAACTGGAACTCTGAAAAATCGGGGTTCCGGCCGGAACTAACCGGCTGGACCGAGTTCCGGTGCACCCCTAGTTTTTGGTAGGGATGGTAATTTTTAATTTCAGTTTTCACTCTGTTTTTAGAAACCTTGTATATAGTTTGTAATTATCCTGTATATTTTGGGGATGAAAGGTGGGACATCTAGTAGTAATCGGGGACAACAGACAACATCAAAACCAGAGAAACAATCTCCTCAGGGGAAGTACCAGGTGGGTATAGTGCTACAGGTTTCATTGCCTTAATGATGCACTGGAAAATTGTATCAGGAAAAAGCAGTACATCCCCTCTTATGGTTTAATACAAGCATTGAGTTTTAGAAGGGGACCACTCCCCCACTTATGCCAAAAATCTCCCCCCCCCCTTTTTGTCTTAATAAAATAACATTTCCCACATTCAGAAGTCGTTTTTGAGCAAAATATTAATCTCTCAAAATAGGTTTTTAATGGTGTGTTGAAGTACTGCCTTCCTTTTACAATTAATTATTCACATTTACCACAATTTCTTTAAAGCATATTGTGACAAATTTAATTACATTTTAATTGAAAAACCCCAGGAATAGTGAATGCTCAGGTTTTACACCTTTTGACCAGTGGTGATGACGAGGCCATTTGTTACGTCATGCTATTGGGTCATGCATAGCTAGGGCCTAGGGTATTCCAGGGGCTACTTCCCAAAAATCGTGAATTTGGGAGGTCCGAAGAGGCCATTTCCAGTGATGTTCACAGAATGACAAAAATGTGCAGCTCATTAGGGCGCATTGCCACGTTTTACATATCAGAGGTTGCAGTACATTTGAAATCTTCATTGTAGCCGACAGCCGAGCAGGTCCGATATGCTCAGTTACTAAACGACGATGATCCTGGATGGTTGAAAGATAAAATACAAGAAGTATGTAATTCAAAATTTATTGTGTGTACTTATTTATCTTACTGTATATTGAGTGTATAAAAAAAGGGAATCCAAATTTAGCTTTGTATTTTGCATTAGGAATTTAGTTTATAGATTTTCATTTTTCTTGACAAGTTTTCCTTGAGAACTTTTATTTGCTCGTGTGTATGGCAACAAGGAAAATTGTTCGTGTGCATGGCTGTTATCAAAGACACTTTCAACTGTTCCTAATTTTGTTAGAAGCAGCTTTCAAAGAAAATTATCATGAAATTCAATGCTTGTGATGTTACTCAGAGTGTGTATCCACACCAGGCAGGCTTGAAAAATATGCCTGGCCACGGTGGGAATCGAACCTATGACCTTTGGAATACTAGCCCAATACTCTGCCAACTGAGCTACACGGTCAGGTCAGATATCGAAGGAACTAAACTCAGTTCCGAAATATTGCATACTCGAACCGACCTGACCACATAGCTCAGTTGGCAGCTAGAGCATTGGGCTAGTATTCCAAAAGTTGTAGGTTCGATTCCCACTGCGGCCAGGCATATTTTTCAAGCCTGCCCGGTGTGGATATACACTCAGAGTAACATCACAAGCATCTTATTCACCTGAGTACACTACACCAACGCAGCAAATATCATGAAATTGTTTACTGACTAAAATAGCACAAGCTCGTATAGTCTTGTTGAATAGGAAAAATTAATAAATAACTGTGTACAAACTATATACATATCAGCTGAGGAATTTGTAATTGCTAAGTAGATTTAAGCAAATAATAAAGTGCCTTTTATTGTATGACATTTCAGGTTGTAGACTTGACACAAAAGCCGCAAGATGAAGTTGCCATTGCACTTCATGACTGTGACAACAATGTAGATTCAGCTGTCATCAACCTTCTTGAAGGAAAATACAACCAGGTATTGTAGTTCATAATTTTTCCAGGCACGGAAATGACCAAAGGTGATGTACTGTATGACAATGCACAGGAAATTAATGCATATGCCTTTAACCTCAGTGATGGAAATCTCGGTGGGGGGCCCCTTCAAAATTGAATAAAAAAGGGCTAAAAACAACCTTTTCGAGTGCAAATGTGGGGATTTGTTGGAAATTTGAAGGTTTTGTCGGAAATTTGAAGGTTTTGTCGGAAATTTAGGAGGCTTTGCCCCCCACCCCCCACCCCCACCGGAAATAGTGAGTTTCCGCCACTGTTTAACCTCTCCTTGTATCAGTTGTTTCTAGTTCTTCAATTTGAATGTTTTTGGATTTTGGAAATTTAAATATCTGTCAAGGAGATTTATTATGCACCTGATCGTTTTGGACCAAGAATATTTGTAATTTGTTGGATTGGCATACAATTGTGAGATAGACTATAAAATTATAGTGTCACTATAAAATTATAGTCATTGTGACACTGTTTATGAGATTGATTTTTTGCTATAACTGCTCACAGAATGCAGGAAATAGTGTTTTTAACACCTGTATTCTAAAAGCACACTCACACGTTTCTTGCACCTTTGGTGCTTGACTCTGAAAATCTAAAATCCTAGCCCCAGGCCTGTAGCACAGTGTTTTGTGTCTGTAGGGTGAATGGACAACGTTTCAATCTCGTAAGAAGAAAAGTACTCCTGCTGATACAATATCTCCTGTCGGTCCTAAAGATAAAACAGGAAATTCACGACAAGACAGAAAAGAAAACAGAGATGGCCTTTCACAGTCAGTTGAATATAATAACAGACGAAGTAAGTCCTGTTTTATAGTTGATGCAATAGATTCCTTTAAATTCCTATAATATATGAAATATGTGAATCGATATATATTCTAATCGGGTCATTCCAGAAAACATCCATACCACCCCCACAGAGGAAATTGGAAGTTAACCCCCCCCCCCCTCCTACCCCCTTCGGATGTCCTAAATACATTTACTATTATCAGAAACAATTTTGTCTTCCCTCCCTATCCGGACGGCAGAAATTTCCTCCGTGGGGGTAGTGTGGATCTTTTCTGGAACGACCCATTCAAACTCGACTGGCAGTGTTTCCACTTTTGATTTTTTTTTCAGATTTTTGTCTAGCAATTTGTGAATTGATCTTCCAGTGTTTCCACTTTTCGAAATTAAAATTTCCATCAAATTCCGTTAAGGAAATTTGAGAATCCCTGTAACGTTCTCCTCATTTTCTTTCTCAAGACAAAGGACAGTTGGACAGGATATCTGATGGAAACAATGAGAGACAGAATGGACCTCTGAATAGCACCAGACCCCCGGGTGGTGGGAGAAAATGGAACAGAGATGATCGCGATGATCGGCGGGGGGACCAGGATGATCAACGTGGAGATCGGGAGAATCGCAGGGACGATAGGAGAAGTGACAGAGACAATCGTCGAGACAGAGGCGGGAACCGAGGGGAACAAGCAGATGACAGAAGGAATAGAAATGATTTCAGGGATCGTGATAGGAATGATAGAGGCAGTCGGGGTGGCAGAGGTGATCGCGAGGATAGACGGGATCAAAGTGACCGTAATGATAGAGGTGACCGTGGGGGCGATAGGGGTGATCGTTGGGTCGATAGGGGTGACCGTGGGGGCGATAGGGGTGACCGTGGTGGCGATAGATGGAACAATGGAGATCGAAGTGGTGATCGGAATGATAGGAGATTTGGTGGTCGAGGTGAGTTTGTGTACAATGCTCTCTAATGGCCTTGTTACACAAGGTAATAGACCTTGTGCATAATGACGTCACAAGGTCTGATGCCTGCGACAAATGCTGGGAAAATGAAACAATTCAAAATGGCCACTATCGAAATTTTCCCAGGCGATGACTACTAAGACCAGCATTCCTCGCGGGCATCAAGCCTTGTGATGTCATTATACATAAGGTCTATTCTAACCCAGTTGTCTTGCAATCCAATTTCAGACACAGAGCCGTGTTATGTAAAAAATGAGCACTACCCATATACCCACATATACAGGGTTAGGGTTTTGCATATATTGAGAGCAGGCACAGATTTTCTTGGGGGGGGGGGGTACACCCCCCAGAAATGATTTGCACACACACCCCAGAGGCATTTGACACCAGCCCCAAAAGTGTTTGCACCCCTGCAAATTATATATATTTTGATTTGATAGTTTCATATTTGATTATTCTTACTACTAAATTTGTAAAATTACCAATATTATGGTCTCAGATCTCGCCATGCAGGCCTAGAAGCAAGCAGCAGCCCCTCCAGATATTTATCCCCGCCCGAAAATATGAAAATCCATCTCTGATTGAGAGACTTTTTAAACATGTGTCAATCATATTCCAGTAAGCACAGTGTATTGACATTGTTTAGGTGGTTTCAACAGACGAGGTGGGATGGGTCGGGGTGGTCGAGGAGGAAGGTACGTTTTACCGCAGCTTATGTATTGAGTTTATGAATTTTTACTACATACAGTACTTCTTTGTAGAAGATTTCTTAATAAATGTGCTGAACCAGAGCTGAACCAAGACCAACCTACTGTAGTCAGTTTCAGATTTTGAAAATTTTTATGTATTTTTTTGTGTATCTAGCAGAGGCTCAAGAGGAGGTAGATATCCCAACAACAGATCTGGCGGACGAAGATCTGATCAAGTCAATGGACCAGCCAAGGATAATGGTGGGTATATAAGGATCAGTAGTGTAATAGTCGGTCCTCGCAATTTTCGTGGCAAAAGACAATTGTCGCCGAAAATGCCGTCGAAGATGAAATTATCGATGGCATTTTTTGCCGCCGACCAAATGCTAAATTGGTTGGACATTTTGTCTGGACAAAAAATAGCAATCAACTTTCTTGGGTTAACCATAAGCTGTTATAACTGACATTGGGCTTTAAATTATTTTACTCTTTCAGAGTTTCCAAAGACCACAGAGAGTTGGGACATTTCACCAGGGAAAGACAAAAAGGGTAAGGTATTTTCTTGTGGAAAATATTGCTGTAAGAATCTTTAGATACGTTGAAAAGGAAAGCAACTTTTTAAAATATGCGTCTCTAAATTAGGGACCAAAAGAGAAATGTTTTTCTTCGTAAAAATGTTGCTGATCCAACCATTAAAAAGTCAAAAACATTTACCAAACCTCAAAATATCATAGACAAGAAAGACGAAATCTATCCTTGCAATGTTTGGTTGCAAAATGTTGTAAAATGCGGAAAATATAGCCCTTGCAAATTTTGTGTTAATTTGTATTACGCACGGGAAAATGCCCCACTTTCGGCCCAAATGTGATGCATTTTTCTGCACGTAATACAAATTAATACAAAATTTGCAAATTTCGCAGGGCTATATTTTCCGCATTTTACAACATTCAGGCCTTAAAATATCGGTTGGTCACGGACATTGTCCGACCCATTCGTGAAATTGTCCGACGTAGAGAGGAAACCACCGGACATTCTGTCCGACCTAAGTGAAACTGAGGTTTGTTGTTTGTCCGACCTAAGTGTATTTGTGTCCGACCCTAACTGTAGCTTTGTCCATCGTAAATCAAAATGTACCTATAGCCCAGGACTAGAGGCTTGTATGGTAAATCAGAGTACTATTGTATAAAAAGTGAACTGGAAATGTTTTAACATAGTCCCCTCGACTATGTTAAAACAAAAGCACAATAGACAGATTTAGATCGAGGACGGCGAGCGAAATGGTGAAGTGGGGCGGCGAGCGAAATGGTGAAGTGGAAGACGAGTTTAAGTTGTCGAAGTCTTTTTTTTTTTCGCCATCTTGCTCTTCATATACTAACGCCAAACAAAAAATTCGTAAAATCTTTCTTAACAAGCTTACCCTTACTAACCATATCGAAGATCTATTTTGTATAAATTGTAAATATTTACTAAATTGTAATTGTATTCATTACTAATTATTTTTTTCTCAAATGTAAATAGTCGTAATCCTTAATACTTTTTATGCCTTAAATATCAGAATAGTGCGAGGGCCGTATGTTAGATAACTTTTACGGTTAATACGTTTTCCCTCGTGAAATAAAGTTTCTATTCTATTCTATTATATTATATGTATGTAAAGTTTCTATTCTATTCTATTCTATAAGTATGAAAGAAACAAATTATTTAATATCTTCACAACATTTACCGTTCAGAATTACCGTTCATTCTGCTGATATTCATCTGTGTCATTCAGACTTATTTCCTAGTCAAAACTGAACTGAAGGTCATCGGACATATGTCCGACCCAAACTCAACGTCACCGGACATTTTGTCAGACGGTCCTGTAAAAGATATTTTAAGGCCTGAACATTTCGCGGCCAAACTTTGCAATTTTACTAATTTTAACATGCTCTTTCTAGCTGTGGTGATGGTTCTTCTTGCCTAGATCAAAATTTCGTCTATAGCTGGATTCATGCATGTATCAAAAAATGACATTTTGTTTGTAGATTTGAATGTAGACTGGGGTTTACCCGAGCCAACGGGTACAACAGAGGACTGGGGAGCGGAAGACTGGGGGAGCGACAAACAAAATGACACGTCGAACACGCCATCCTGGGCCACCACCGTGGATGATAAAACTGCAAGCACGTGGGAGACTGATGTTCCAGCCAATCAGAATTTAACTAATCACATGAATCATTTACCGGAATGGTAAAGTATTATATACTGTTAAACATTGAAGTCATGTGACCAATCCAAATGTGATTTTTTGTATGTGTAATATTTGGGTCATTCGAAGAAGAAATGTAATTTATACAATAACTACAGTGAAACATGCAATTCGATCGGTCAATAGCCGTGCGGTATCAGGCTATTATTATTATTATTCATCTTATTTAAAAACGGTAGCCCTTCAGATTAAACTGCTTTTCAAGGGGCCGTTAGAATATTTACAAATATGAAAAATCTATTGTACATACTAACTATGTAAAAAAGAAAGCCCATGCAATGAACACTATACATAAATTAGAATGACTCACATATATAACTAGAAATGGTATGTTATGTTAACCCTCCCAGACCCATTACTCCTTCGAATCAAAATCCGCCCCACAAGTGGTTGTCATACACTATTCCTGCACGAGGAATTAAAATGCCTTCGCGGGATTCTCAACATGTCATTGTTTCACTGTAGTTATTTTATAAAAAAATTACCAAATGGTTTTCCACGCAGGATAGCGTGATCCATGCACTTGGGATGTTGCTCGACTTTCGGAAAGCGTAAAAATACACTCGCCTGCGGCTCGAGTATTTTTACGCTTTCCGAACGTCTCGCGACATCCCTCGCGCATGGATCGCGCAATCCTGCACAGAAAACCATTCGGTATTCCTTTAGTATCTTTAAAGTAAAAAATCCCATCTTGATCAACTTTTCCACAGTCAAAGTTTCCGGATATGATATCATTAGGCGAATTTTTAGTACAAAAAAAACAAAGGAAAACTAATTTGCAATAGACCTTTCCCCTTTTAAGTGAGATTTTGATCTAGACAAGTCTGGACAAAAATTTCATTACAGCTTGAAAGAGCATCGCAAAATTAGTAATATTCCGAAGTTTCGTTGCAAAATGTTGTAAAATGCGGATAATATAGCCTTGCGAGGTTTGCCATTTTTCAGTCATTTTGATTACAAATGGGAAATTGATAATCAGATGATCAAACTGATTATCAATTTCCCGTTTGTAATGCAAAATGACTGAAAAACGGCAAATTTCGCAAGGCTATATTGGCCGCATTTTACAACATTTCGCAACGAAACTTCGGAATTTTACTAATTTTGTGATACTCTTTCAAGCTGTAATGAAATTTTTGTCCAGGCTAGTCTAGATCAAAATTTCACTTAAAAGGGGAAAGGTCTATTTACCGAATGACATCATCCTGAAACTTGATATAAGTGGATGGCCTCGTTGAAAAGCAGTTTCCAGTGAAGGAGTATACTTCCTAAAATATTTTCAATAAATATGATCTTTCAACTTTGTAGTGATGACGAAGCAATCTTAAGTTCTAAAGTCGCTTCCAAACAATCCCCATTACTAAACCTCGAGGAATCTGTGAGGTTTTCCACCGCATCGAATGTCTCCTCACAACCTTATCCTCTTGATACCCAGAAATCCTTCGGCTTACCCCCTGGTATCTCTTCAAGCCAACCAAAAGATAGTGCTATCGCAGCTCTGGCGAATGCTGGTCTCAAGAAAATGCACCATACGCCTGCGATGGACGCGTCTAGAGTTCATACTTCAGCAAGTCAGGTGACCTCAAGTCCAGAGGTCACTATGACTACAGACACGGGTCAACCACAGCCTCAACGACAACAAAAAAGTCGAACTAAAAGAGCCCCCAAAGGACAGGTATAGTTTTGTATTTGTCTAGTTCAAATTTTGATCAGAGTTGATAAAAGCCCATTTCCACTCAGGAAAATTTTCCGCGAAACAAATTCTGCGTCGGAAAAAAATTTTGAAATTGAAAATTTTAAACTTTTAACAATGATATTTTCGGAAAATTTTCTGTCCGTGGAAATTTTTCTTGAGTGGAAATTGGCCTTAAGAGTTTTTGCTATGCGCGCGCGGTAATATTCAGTCAACTCTCTTGCAACTCTTGTTCTCGTTTGACCGGGGCATGAGAGTTGTGAAAACTCTCTTGCAAACTCTCGCTTCTCAACTCTCATGCAACTCTTGTTCTCGTTTGACCGGGGCTCGAGAGTTAAGAAAACTTTCTTGCAAACTCTCGCTTCTCAACTCTCATCAACTCTCATGCAACTCTTGTTCTCGTTTGACCGGGGCTCGAGAGTTAAGAAAACTTTCTTGCAAACTCTCGCTTCTCAACTCTCATCAACTCTCATGCAACTCTTGTTCTCGTTTGACCGGGGCTCGAGAGTTAAGAAAACTTTCTTGCAAACTCTCGCTTCTCAACTCTCATCAACTCTCATGCAACTCTTGTTCTCGTTTGACCGGGGCTCGAGAGTTAAGAAAACTTTCTTGCAAACTCTCGCTTCTCAACTCTCATCAACTCTCATGCAACTCTTGTTCTCGTTTGACCGGGGCTCGAGAGTTAAGAAAACTTTCTTGCAAACTCTCGCTTCTCAACTCTCATCAACTCTCATGCAACTCTTGTTCTCGTTTGACCGGGGCTCGAGAGTTAAGAAAACTTTCTTGCAAACTCTCGCTTCTCAACTCTCATCAACTCTCATGCAACTCTTGTTCTCGTTTGACCGGGGCTCGAGAGTTAAGAAAACTTTCTTGCAAACTCTCGCTTCTCAACTCTCATCAACTCTCATGCAACTCTTGTTCTCGTTTGACCGGGGCTCGAGAGTTAAGAAAACTTTCTTGCAAACTCTCGCTTCTCAACTCTCATCAACTCTCATGCAACTCTTGTTCTCGTTTGACCGGGGCTCGAGAGTTAAGAAAACTTTCTTGCAAACTCTCGCTTCTCAACTCTCATCAACTCTCATGCAACTCTTGTTCTCG